GAGGAGCTAGACAAGTTGCTAGATTTGCCCAGATTGGCTATTTCTGCTCAAACTGTTTCAGGGCGGTATCGCGTCGGGCGGTGGGCTCTGCTGTAGCTTCTGCTCCCCGCTGTAGCTCCACAACGAGAGACTCCCACAGGATGACCAGGGTAGCGGCTTGAAGCTACGGGCTAGCCCTTCAATTCAAGCTACACAGCAAGCTCCACCTCTCAGTGGTAGTCCGGCTACAGCGTATTGCGCAATCTCGCTCTCAATCAGATGCTACGCTCTCAATCAGGCGAATATGTTGTTTTTGGCAGACAGCTAAGATGTGCTGTGCTGACTCTCGAAATCCAGGTCTTGCACTTGAACAAAGAGCACTTTGTTTGTGCACGGAGTGCATATTTCTCTGATAGGGTTGGATAGTCTTGCTGACTACAGAAGGGCCACGTCTTGCCCTGCGTCGTGGTCCTCTGTCTGAACCCTGTTGTAATCGGACCTTATGCCTTCTCGTATCTGTTGAGAGGTCTCAGGGCGGTCATCATATCTGACAAAGGTTGGAATATCCGATATTGACATGTCAAAACCTAGGGAAATTGTTTCTCCGCCCTCTGAAGAAAGAAAGGTTAAACAACTGTCCTAAGTAACGATGGCAAAGTACAACAAACCACAATACCCCGCGGTGGTATTAAATATGTAGTTCGTGGCATAGTATACTGTTGTAGTAGAAAGAATTTCGGGCTCCGTTTCCGGGCGAACGAGCTCGTTTATGGTTCGGCACTGCAGTCCTTATAAACCAACAGAAACGTAGCACACGAAACCGGAAGGAGAACAAGGTGAGGCCGTGAAGTTGATGGCATGGTTCTTGCCAAAAATATCATCGACATACGATAGATCCCCATGTTTCATCTGTTCTTGTTAGGTTTGTGATTAGAACTGTTCGAAACGCTTCTGATCCATCAAATTGCGATGAGTAGCGTCTGAAAGGTTGTCAAGCCATGAACATTATCTCGTGCTTGTTGCCAGATCCGGAAGCCACATCTCCTCGCACCTTTATATTCACCCCTCGTACCTCCCGCCCCTACATTACGCTTCCTGTGACGATGTTTGCGAATCATAGCGTGGAGAATGAAGTACATGGCGTTGTTTTCGCGGAACAGGATCGCCATATTTCTTACGTCATTGGTNTCGTGCTTGTTGCCAGATCCGGAAGCCACATCTCCTCGCACCTTTATATTCACCCCTCGTACCTCCCGCCCCTACATTACGCTTCCTGTGACGATGTTTGCGAATCATAGCGTGGAGAATGAAGTACATGGCGTTGTTTTCGCGGAACAGGATCGCCATATTTCTTACGTCATTGGTCATAATCCTGCTTGGAATCTGCGCCATGCTACAGCAAGTCGCATCCGACGTTTATGGGTGAGATGGATGGGGGCAAGATGGATAGGTGTATAGACGAATGGATGAATGGGCTCGATTCTACCCGTAAGAGTTAAAGCAATAAATGTGCTCCGATACGATATCCGTTGGCGGGATCTAAGACCATCCAGAAGCACATTGTTCATCGTGTTTTCAAAAGATAGGCCATCGTCGTGCCGAGAGACCAGCAGCTTGAAGTGCTGACGTGCGGCTGCGAAGGATTTTCAGAGGTGGGAGTGCCAGACTGCTCACAGTAGTACGCAAGGTGTAGGTGGTAGACGCCTTTGCCCCCCTAACACTCACCGCCGGTCGACAGGGTCAACCCCACCGAGGTATGTGTTTTTCTTGGAGACTGGTGGTTCTGGTGCCCTGCATGCTTCCTGATGATACTGGCGGGCTCGAAGCTTTTCATAGAGCTTTCACGTGTGAACGACAGCATCAGCATGGCCAAGGAAATTTCCGCGACAGCTGGGGCGTGGGTTGTTTTAGCTGGTGAGTGCCTGTACCCCGCCACATGCCACGCAGGATGCATTCACTACACAAGGGGTTACGTGAACGAGAGAGTTGCGTTTCTTGGCACCAAATCTCACGATTGGCGTCATATCTGAGGTGTAAGTGCGGTATGTGGGGAAGATTCGCGGTAACGTGATTTCAAAGGCATTAATCTCGAGACTTTGAGCGGCGGTTTATTGACCATCTTGCGGGATGTTCTCCATATGCTCCTATTGTTAGTTGCTTCTCACCTCCTTGCGTTGATTGAACCTGTCCCGTTCAGCCTAGCTCTTCTCTCCCGCCGTTTCCCACCACTCTACAGCCCCCCCCACCGCCCGGTTTCCGAGCAGTATCGCCCTCCGTACTGCGAAGGTACATCGGGTCGCCCGACAACGCATACAGAATGGCGTGGGAACAAATGGTCCAGCCGCCTCAAGGGGTGTACGCCCCAGTTGCAGCCCGACAAAGCACGTTGAAGCTATTCGTGACCACCGCTTTTTCTTAACGCACAGGAAGTCGTACACCCTTGAGTGCCCTCGAAATGTCTGCCTTACCTGCGATCGAAGGCTTGTACGGTAAACTCTCCCTGCCCCCTTCCGCTTGAAAAGCAACCGTTGAACGTCTACGGCAGTGCCGTACTTTTCCGTGATCGTGCTCAACGCGTTCAACATCCTGGAAATGCCAAGACAACATTCTCTTCTTCTGTGGCTATGTATCGCGCTGACACTCGCCTGCACGTAAGTTTCACCTTGCGTTTCCTCCATGTGCTGACGAGTTCTGGTACCTCGTAGTTCTCGCGGACTTCTTAACATTTTCTTCGGCCATACTTCCCCCTGCACTTCTGTTTGGGACTGATACCGTGGCAAGCGTTCTTTAGTGGCCCTCATCATTTTCACAAAGCCTGTTTTCCGATCCAGCTACCAGGAAAAAACGGTTGACATTGTCAGTTTTGGGTTTGCCTTGTCAATACGACTTGTGCTTGGGGCATTTGGCGGCACCAAAGCAGATCCGAGTTGCGATAGTCCAAGCGACACCCAATGTCGGAAATAAAATACGTGCGCTTGTTCTTCCACAGCCCTATTCGTGACACCCCCACTCGGCGTGCATCGCTATTTCGAAAAGAACGGCGGATGCCTCGTCGTGTGTCTCTCAACGCCAGATGAATTCCTACCGCGTACAACGAGATGCTGGTCATGACTTGAAGGCAAGGTTTTGCACTTCCGGCCTTGTCCCAAGCGACGGGAACAAGAGTTAAATGACATTTCGGGGGAGCGTAATTGGTGTACTCCGCACCACGATCCTCTCAGAGCTGTCTCTCTGGCATTTGGAGCCGGCGTTGAAGAGTGACAGCCCTCCCTAGAATGTAACCCAACACCGAATGACTGGGACTTCAAACAAAGTTTGTCCATAACATAAACACGTTTCGATAGGAATATCTCAGAGTTGCCGAACACCTCACCGGCACACCCGCAGGTTCATGATCGAGCCGCGGGCACATCACGGCGAGGTATCGTGTTGTAAGAGGAAGAAGAAGCAGAAGGTCTTCATTGACGATGCCGAGGTCGCCGCTTGGAAGGAGAGCTGGCACAACTCAACGGTAACGGGATGTGGTTCTTGCCCCTAGGCTAGGGCTGGAATATGGCCGCCCAGCTGCACCCAATTCCTCGAACATCGAGGGGTGTTGACTTATTCGTAGTATACCCACACGAACGTTCGCAACACACTATTCGAACACTCTTCCGTCGCCACCACCCTGACACTAAGAGACCTTGGGTGTACAGACGGAGCAGAATCCCGTGTACGTGACACTGCCTGCATTCGCTGCATCTAAATACAGGGAAAACCTCTCAAGACTCGTCGAAGATGTGCAATCAGAAAGAGTATTCATACATTCGCATACACAGATCGAGACAAACATCATAGTATTGTGAGCAATCCCAACAACCGGATTCAGCAGACTGGCCCATAATCACCTGTGAGACTGTCGAAAAGCACGTTCCTGCCGAACGTCCAAAACCTACCCTTTCAATGCGCAAGCTGAGGTATCTTGGTAGGTCGCCCCACGACTTGTCGCCTGACTCTTTGGCTTGCGTCCATTGGCTGGCAGGCAATCATGAGCCATCCGATTCTCGACCGAGCTTTCGAGAAGCACGTCCAGGACTATCTGTGCTTGGAGTCCTATGACTTCGTCAAGTAGGTCAGTGCATGCAGACCTGAGAGTGATAGTGAGCCTGTTTAGGATCGCTGTTCTAGAGTAAGCCCATCTACACTAACCGGTGGATGGCTAATACTCCTTGAAGCACATAATGTCGGAAAACTCACGCGGAGTCGTTTCTGCAACGGCACACGTACGTCTGCGATACCCGGGTGATTGTGTTCCTCCCATGATCATGTTCCCAGTGTGTGACGTTGAAAACGTATTACAGACAGACGCTCTTCTTGCAAACATGTGCCACAAGTCCTGTTAACATGAAATTTTGATGTGGAAGACCGAATTAACTGTACCGTAGTATTTTGTGCACGGAAGAATTCGGAACATCTCCCAGATCTACCTGTGTATTTAGGTACTTGTTGTACCGCCCTGGAAGCGTATTGGTGCGGGTGGCTCGTTCCGATCTTCTGGGGTCCCACAATGAGACAGGTCTCACGGAGTTCTTATTCTGCTCTCTCGCTGCTCCTGCTGCAACAGCTTGATGGACGCGTGTCCACTGGACGCAAAGGCCACATGATGAGGATGCACAGTGTGTAACACGCAGCCTGCTTCGGAGGGCAGCAGCTGAATAATACGTACATCGAACTTCGGTCCATAGCTAGCAAACATGTCGTAGCTTTGCCACGTAAAAGTGTAGAATAGCATGTTTTTTTTTTGAATGGCAGTGCGTACCATTGGGAGACTCAATTGTCCGAGACTGCTGCTGTACAACAGGTTCGTTCCGTCTGGTAGTATCCGGAGGGGGATTTTGTGTTATAGTAGCAGAGACACGTTCGGCTACCACGGAGGCTTTACGCCGTGTGGAACGTGTGGTTCGGGGGAAGCCTCCCTCTGCAGGCCACAGAATATATCAATCAAGGCAGTTCGAACGAAAAACAATGAAGTGCTGCTCCCCAAGTACAATGTATTGTGTTCTGATACATCAACTATAGTCTAGACTAGTTGATACGGTTTCCCATAATTTAGACCAACCTGCCAACCACCATTTTTGTCAGAGGTGGCACAATACGTCACCGACGCAAAGAATCCGTTGAATAACTTTTCGTTCACTTCCGAAGAATCGTGGATATGTACATCCTGGCGGGGTCGGAGATGGAAATCAACATCGAAACCGCGATGCGAAAAAAAGTGCTCGAGGTGTGTAACATGCGGTCACACGTTCAGTTCTTGGCCCCAGCAAATGCTGCCGCGGTTCGTGTGGGAAAGTAAAACCTACGGACAACATACCTCGCGAAGGAGATTCGTTGAGAATGGACGCCCGAATGTAGGGGATAAACCACTTTGAAACGTTGACCAGGTGCACGTGGTAACGACATCTACCTACTTGGAGCCATGACAGAAACTATTGGGAAGGCGTGGTTACATATGGTTGCACACCCAACAACAAGAAAAATAATCTGTTAAGCACAAGAATAGACTTTGGTTTTGAGCAGGATACGAAACGGCGACGATACGTCGGCAGACCCTCGGCGAAATAGTCATGATGCTCAACGGCTCGTTGGAATACTGACCGATCCATACCCGTACCCCCGTGCGCTCCTAAGTAGACGGGGAGTAGTAGTAGTAGCAATTATCATGCGGGATAGATAGAATGTTGGCACGGCTTTGAACGCCCCAGCTCCCTTTCCTCGACACGTCAACATTTGTTTGTAAAAGATTGGGGACAGGGAAGCCTTTGTGAAGGCTGTGACGGAAAGGCGAAGAGACATCTTCAACCCTCCGAAGGCAGAAGTCCTGAAGATTCTTGACGACAATCTCGTTCAGTCCTTCTTGGCAAGTCAACAATTTCTCGACGCCTCCAAGAATTAACAAGAAGCGCTAGCCGCAGGTAACGATGATCCCGCCGTCTGTACATGCTGCATGACCTTTCCCTTGATTTCGGGTATGCCACTTCAACCGAAAGTCAGTGTGAGGTTCTTTGCTTTCCGTCCCGCTGGCTGCTTCAGTCACCAATCAATTGTGAACTGTGTCCAGGGACGTCCATGGACGTTTGTAACGGTTGACTTCATGACATGTACATGTCCGTGGACGTCCGTCGACACGTCAGTGGGTTTCCCATGTTTGATGTTGTTATATCTCCCTGCTGCTTCTGCTGCTGCCGCCTGTGTCTTCGCATAAGTGGCCTTTCTGAGCTCGATCCACTAGATCTAGACAATTTCTTCTTTCCTACTTGGTACACCTCAAGGTAAACAACGGGTATGTCCAAAAGCAAGTCGAACAGTGCGCAGACTTTTCAAGGTTGTATAGATGCCAACGAACAATGGCCCGCATGCCGGTGTACACAATAGCTTCGTGGAATGCATTCAGACGAACACAGTGACGAGCGAGAACTCGGCGAACAACGCCAAACAACATACGCCTTCTCACAGACGTTGTTTCTTCCCTCTTCGTGACGACGGCAGACGCATCCACGACAAGCGAATCACATACATTGGGCACGATAGACAACCGCGATGCGTTCAAAGAGATTCCACAAGCTTACACTACCCTTCAAGAAATCTACCACACGGGATCTAGAGGCCGGAGGACCAGCATCAACGATCGAAGACCATCAAAGTTTACAAGCACCAGCATCACGGGAACGATCAAGCGATGGACGTCACAATTAAGTGCACATTCGAGGACGGGGGTGTTTTCCCCGACGGAATCTGTCCCCTCCACCGTCGCGTCTGAGAGAAGTGTGCCGGATAACTCTTAGGAGGAGAGATTTTGCCCGGGCGGAGCACGCAATCTACCAGCCAGGGGGGCTATGCGCGCTACGGTGGTTTCCTGTACAGTACTCAATAGCAACGATGCCCAGTGTTATAAGATTAGAAGTGGAGACGGAACAGAACAGAGAATGGTTCCTGAAAATCATTATCGGGGAAACATGACTCCCTGTGCCGGCAAGTTGTAACTCCCCGCCGTAGGACAAACGATGGGACAGATTCTGCTGTCCCCTCTTGATGCAGCTTGTTCGGAGCCCCTTTGTCTCAGTTCCCAACCAACCGCGAGTCGTCAGCTACTGCTGCTGCTCTGCAAGAGTTAATAACAAGTGAGTTATCTACATCGGGTCTTCCATCTAGCACAGGGCGTGCTTTACCTTACACTTGGCGTCGTCGGCAGGACATGATATGTACGCGGTCACCGCTGCCGAATTCGCTGCCGAAGGCACCGCTGACGTCCTTGTCAACCGGTACATCCCGCTGTGGGGTTCCCCGTTGAGTCTTTCGTCTGACAACGGCTCTCAGTTTTGATCTAAACTGTCACAAGCCGTTTACGCCCGTCTTGCTATCCGCAAAGTGGCTACTAGCTCTCACCATCTCAACGGCAACAGGGGTGTGGAGCGAGTCAATCACACTATGGCTCAAATGTTGGCTATGGTCGTCAAAGAAAGGAAAGACGATAGGGACATTCATTTTCCACACGTCGAGTTTGCATACAACAATTCGGTTAGTGCTGCTACTGGTTTAATGCCAAACGAGGTGCACATGTACCGCTTGCCCCGTTTACCGATGACTGTTCTCGAGCATCCCTACGCTCGTGGTCACCAAAGTTTGCATCGTGATCAACTTGAGTATTGCGATCTCGCTGCTGACCGCCAACGTCGTTCATACGACTTAGTGCGTGAACAGCACCTTCTGTCCATCTCACGGATGGAGCGGCGGAACTCCGCCCTCTCGGATGCTTTACGCAAGCTTCCCGTTCACACTGTCGGTGGATGGGTTTGGATTTACAACTCCGAATCTACCATTCGCCAAGGTGTTTGTTCATGTACAGATGACAAGGTACTCAAAGCCAAATTGTCTCTGCTCTGGACTGGCCGGTTCAAAATTCTGGCGGTGGGCTCGTGTTCCGAAGCCCCTGATGGCCATCCTTTGGCGTCTAAGTTGCTCTACTTGGACCTCCCGTCGGATCAGCAGGGCCAAGACTCGAAACGTCGTGTGTCTGTAGTGTGTTGTAAGCCTTGTGCAAATCCTCATGATACCGACGACTTGCCACGTTTTCTTCCTGCGGGTCTCACCCCGTATGTGTTGAATTCTTATGCGAATAAATCTCCTCCCTACCATGTTTCGGAAAACAACGTAGCGACTCCGGTCGAACGTCTCGAGTTTTTTTCGTGTCCGTCGAAGTTGAGTTGCTTCAGGCGAGGGATTCGGGCGTGAGAATTAGAAGCATACCATGCGGTCTGCTCACTGTGGGCGCCTTCTCGCGACAGCTCTTTCGGATGGCGTGGGTTCTCCTCGTGGTTCCGGGCCTCGCAGCCCTCTCGCTCCCTCGAGCCCTCGTCCGGTATTCGGCGCGTGGTCCAACTGACCCGCGCCAGGGAAGGCGTGCATCCTCCCCAGTGACTCCCCCCCGCCGCCCGCTGCGGTCGCACTTCCGGCGGGCGGTGTCCCGGGCACTAAACGGGACAAGGTGTTCACGATGCCTTCCAGCTTCTCCGTCATCATCTTCTCCAGTCTGGTGCTGGCGTCGCCCACGGCGTCGTCGATGGCCGTCCTAAGCTCCTCATGATTCGGGCCGGCCTCGCCCCCGCCAGAGTTCCCAGAGTCTTCCGAAGACATGTGTGTCTCCCGCACTAGACTATGGCGTTAGCGCCACAAAACTCTAGAGTGTTGATTGGCCCCAAGCCGAGTGCTGCTGGATGAGCACGGCTGACCCGGTTGACAATGTGAAGAGATGGTGAAGTCGTTTTATTGGTTGTCCTCGTAGACACAAGCAACGGAAGAGAGTGGGCACCCGGGTGCATCACAAACACCGAGGCACGCGAGCAACAGTCGCAAGACGCATTCGGAACTCGGAACACATGACAGCAGGGAACGCGCGACAACTTGCCAAAGATTCTACTACCGGAGATACCCCGAATATCCAAATGTCCGATGGACGGCCACGCACTTGCGCACTTGCATAGCTCAAAACCACACATGAGTACTATAGCAGTAGCCTTCGTAAGGATGGCATAATCCACCTCACGAACATCAAGCTCGCCCTTCCTGCCGTCCGCTACTCCACCGCCGGAACGCGCCGTCTCCAGATCCTGGTGCCTCCAAATTCACAGCAGCAGCGCCCTTCTTGTGGATATTCTTCGCAACATCGACACGTCGCGTGGCGGCGTTGCGAACGATTCGTTGCCTGATGACTTCGCGCACTCTCATTACGATTAAATGCTTGGTTGCTTTTAGTCTTTTTCGTGTTTTGCCGCAGGTTCTGTCGACCTTCGTTTGGTGTCACGACATCTTTTCGTTTTTCTTCCCTTACGGACTGTTTGGTCTTTCGCTTTTTGTGTTTGCGGTCTGTCGGTGTTTTGAGACCCAGGTTAATACTCGCGCACTGCCGTGGCGACTGTTTGGCATCTTGCGGTAGACTGTGGCCTTTTCGTCGTCCCGACGACGTCCCTTTTTCATACTTTTGGCCAAGTCTCTTTCTTGTTCCTTGTTTTTTTTGTCGTTCCGACGACGTGCTTTTTTTCGTTGTCTTGACGATGCATATTTCTGTTTCTTTTTGCTTCCGTTGTCTGTCCTTCTCTTTCTTCTCGCGTTCAGATCTTTTCTGGTCCTATTTAGCCTTCGCGTAGCGCATCATTTTTTCCCTGTTGCCTTCTTTTCTTTTAGAGGTCAAACGATGGGCTTACGACCCATCGAGTGAGAGGTGTGGGACGGTGAATTGTGTTGTTGGAGCTCCACATCCTCGATACTTTGTTTTTGGGATTCGACAATTGTCTGTCAAGCCCCGAGGTTTATAGTATCTGCGTATGAGAACCTCCAGGGTGGGCTAGTGTTATATGATTAGAAGTGGAGACGGAACAGAAGAGAGAATGGTTCCTGACAACCATTATCGGGGAAACATGAATCCTTGTTCCGGGAAGTTGTAACTCCCCGCCGTAGGACAAACAAGTGGACAGATTCTGCTGTCCCCTCTTGATGCAGCTTGTTCGGAGCCCCTTGTCTCAGTTCCTATCCAACCGCGAGTCATCAGCTGCAGTTACTGCTGCTGCTCTGCAAGAGTTAATAACAAGTGAGTTATCTACATCGGGTCTTCCAGCTAGCACAGGCCGTGCTTTACACCAGGGGGAAACGCCGGGCCCAATTGTTGTTGTTGTTGTTGTTGTTGACTTCACATTAAACCGTATGCCAGTTGCTAAATGCCAAAATCTAGCAAAGACTCTCGGCCCGTGGTCACGAAAGTGCTGGAGCCTATGAGGATCTAAAGAACACGCACACGTAGCAAGAAAAAGGTGTACAAGAGCCCGAAGAGGTACTACTACACCTATATATAATCCCTGCAGCACCGTACGCGTGCCCAAAACTGAACTACACGTCCGTCTCACCGTTCGACTACAGCAACATCACCCCCTACTTGTCCCACTCTGTACCAAAACGAATGATTGCCGACTACAGCATACTTGCTGTCTGAAGTGCTGTCTGTACAAAAACACCATGGTAGGCATGGAACAAGAAGCTGGCGGGGCACAAAGCTGCTGTCTGAAGTGCTGTCAGAATTAATTGGCCTAGTTAAATGCCAGGGTTGGCGATAGGTCCCATCCAATGAGTGGCGTGTATAATTACATCGTAGAGTACATGTGGCTTGCGCTGAACCCATCCCCGAGTCTCCCTCTCTTAGATTCTAGTCGACCCAGCTCGTCTGGATACTAGACATGCAATTTGGTAAGCATATCGACTGCTGGGTCGCAAGCTTCCTCAGGACGTGCTGGTAGTTCGAGATTTATTTGTGGATTGTGAGCTGAGCAGTGGAGGTGTTTGGCTTGCAATCGCAAGCAAGTATGCTGGCGCTGAAAACCTAAGTCCGTCGATGAAAGTGCACCAAGTGGAGTAGGCAGGGAGGTCATGAAAAAACGAAACACAGAAACACAGCACAGAGGCCGAAGGCAATACAAAGGACATACATGAAGGAGTATAGCATACAGCAGGGAGGGAAACAGGGCGCAACAGCATCAAAGCGGGGAGTGTTGGAAGGTAAACTATGCGGGGTGCAGCAAGCACGTTCTGGACGTTGCTTTGGGGGACTGGGTAGTCGGCCGTGTTAGGCCGAGAGAGAGAGGTTGAGAGAGAGTTGGAGAGAGAGTGGGAGAAGGAAACTTGATTGGAGAGAGACGGTGGTGGTTGTGGAGAGAGAGGGAAGAAGAAGAGGAAGAAGAAGAAGAGCGCAGCACGCATGCAAGCCTTCCTCATCATCGCACCGACCACGCCCAAAGGGTCCCCGTGTATGTGCCGGTGGTACCCTTCAACATACGAAATTCCCAACACGTGTCCCCCTGGGATCCTCACGACCAGATGCTGCTGCGAGTATATCTAACATCCCCCCTGCTCGCAACAGTTTCTNCCTACTACACACGAAATTCCCAACACGTATCCCCTGGGATCCTCACGACCAGATACTGCTGCGAGTATATCTAACATCCCCCCTGCTCGCAACAGTTTCTCAATGAAAACTTCGCGAACACCCGATATCTCAACCAAAAGACGTCTTTCCCAGAATATATACCATAAGACTTGACCAGAATAATAANCATCCCCCCTGCTCGCAACAGTCTCTCACTGAAAACTTCGCTAACACCCGATATCTCAACCAAAAGACGTCTTTCCCAGACGATATGCCACCAAGACTTTACCAGAATAACATAAGAGAGAGAAAAACAATTCAAAGGAATATGAATGCTGCATCGCGCGTAACAAATACTTGGCGCGGGAAATGAAAGAAAACGGGAAACAGAACAAAATCAAAACACAACCCATCAGAAAAACAATAAAATGTTCATGCCAAATTGATCACAAATTCACGGTGAGACTCGAAGGCATCCTTCGACAAACTCTTCGTAAGAAAGTCTGCACGCTGGTACGGCGACGGCACGTGGATGACCGAAATTTCCTTCCTCTCTACCAGTTCCCTGAGAAAATGGTGCCTTACATCTATGTGCTTCGAGTTCGAGTTTGAGATGGGGTTCTGCGCTAGTTGAATCGCCCCCTGGTTGTCCTCGAAAATGGGGATGCACGGCATGCCGACCTGCGGCAACATGAAACGCCAAACCTGCCTCAAAACCAAATCTCCTTCACTACGTCACCTAGGGCGACGTACTCTGCTTCTGTGGTCGAAAGCGTGACACACTTCTGCGTTCTGGAAAACCAAGACACAGCGCCTCCTCCACACGTCACGATCCCCCCTGATACCGACCTACGGCCTGCTCCCTTGCTTGCAAAGTCCGCATCAGCGTACTCCTGCAAGCTTAATCCCTCCACCGTACCTCTCTGAAACGAAATAATACCAAAGTGACTCATCCTCCTCGCATAGCCTAAAATATTTATCGCTGCATTCCAGTGTACCAGCTTCGGAGATGCGCAATACCTAGCTACTGCCCTTACTGCATTCGCAATGTCTGGCCTAGTCTGAGTCGCCAGCCACATTAGCTCACGAAACGGAAAGTCTGTCGCCACCTCATCCGCATCAAAATCAGAAAGCTTCACCCCCGAAGGCATCGGAACGCTCTTACCTTCCATTACTCCATATTCTGCTGCTAGCTCATCTATAAAAGTCTGCTGAGAAATCGTCAACCTACCGGTCTCCTTGTTCCTCTCAACAACATATTCGCCTGATTGAGAGCGAAGTATCTGATTGAGAGCGAGAGCCAAAAAAATTGAAATTTCGGGTCCAGACGCCTCTTGCCATTTCTTGGCAAGTAGGGGACGGGCTATTCCAAGAAGCGGTGCAAATTGAAGGTCTCATCAGCAGCTTCGCGAGCATATGCGTGTCATCGTCATCGGATGCTGCAGCGAGGAGCTAGACAAGTTGCTAGATTTGCCCAGATTGGCTATTTCTGCTCAAACTGTTTCAGGGCGGTATCGCGTCGGGCGGTGGGCTCTGCTGTAGCTTCTGCTCCCCGCTGTAGCTCCACAACGAGAGACTCCCACAGGATGACCAGGGTAGCGGCTTGAAGCTACGGGCTAGCCCTTCAATTCAAGCTACACAGCAAGCTCCACCTCTCAGTGGTAGTCCGGCTACAGCGTATCGCGCAATCTCGCTCTCAATCAGATGCTACGCTCTCAATCAGGCGAATATGTTGTTTCTCGTAAAAGCACCCAGAATACCGTCTCAACTCTCCCAGGTTCTTCACTGGCACAGACTTGTCAAGGTCGGCGCCAAACTTGTCACATCTCTCCCTCTCTCCCACAGCAAAAACATCATCTACATGCACTACCAAAATCAAAACAACACATCCATTTTCAATCAAACGAAACACACAAGCATCGGCCATGCACTGCTCAAAAACTAACTCTACCAAACACCTCTTCAGCATTGCATGCCACTTCCNAGGCGCCATCCGCAACTGACCGTCATGAATTTTTGTTGGCGGGGGGATGGTGATGAACCATCCCCGGCTAAGGTCTGAATTTTTTTTTCGTGTGTTGGTAGTGCTCGATTCCACCACCCGTAGAGGTTTGGAGGGAAAATAGGTGTCTAGTACCTGGGTTTCATTCAGTTTTTTTGTTGTTTCCACTAGGGAAAACTTTCAAAACGCCAGGAAGCGGGGATGGCCCGAAAAAATCCCCCCCCTCTTAAATAGCTCTGATTGGGCTGAAAATTTCAACATGGGGTAAAGGAGGGTGGAGAGTTGCGAATCCGTCGTCAGATTGTCCAAATTCATCGATGGCACCGAGTTACAGCTATCAACAGGGTATTCGCCTGATTGAGAGCGGAGTATACGATTGAGAGCGGGAGCCAAAAAAATTGAAATTCCGGGTCCAGACGCCTCTTGCCATTTCTTGGGAAGTAGGGGGCGGGCTCTTCCAAGAAGCGGCGCAAATTGAAGGTCTCATCAGCAGCGTCACGAGCATATGCGTGTCATCGCGATCGGATGCTGCAGCTAGGAGCTAGACAAGTTGCTAGATTTCCCCAGATTGGCTATTCCTGCCTCAAACTGTTTCAGGGCGATTTGATCGCGGACGGTGAGCTCTGGTGTAGATTCTGCTCCCCGCTGTAGCTCCACAACGAGAGACGCCCACAGGATGACCAGGGTATCGGCTTGTAGCTACGGGCTAGGCCTTCAATTCAAGTCACGCAGCAAGCTCCACCTCTCAGCGGTAGTCCAGCTACAGCGTATCGCGCAATCTCGCTCTCAATCACACGAAAACCTTGTTTATCCCAATACGCCAAAAAGGCGGGGATGGAAGGCTACCATCCCCTCCCCTCGAAACCTCAAAAAGCCGGTTGTAAGAGCTATAAGTCTCAGTACCGGGTAATTTTGGGGTGGGAATCACGAATCTTGAATCAGAATGGTCCACTTCGCTCTTGGTTTTGAGAAACAGGCGTGGAAAATTGACGTATTCCTGAAGGATTCAGCACAATCTCGTTTTCTTGAAATCGACCGGCGCACCTGAGTTTTTGTCTGATCAACTTTCTGAGTGGCTCTACCCCCCCTAAATCGGCCAAGCGGAATCGAATGCCGAGGTGAACAACGAAAACAAATATCGGCAACACGACGAAAAAAAAAAACGAAAGCAATCCCGAACCGATTTGTTTTTGTTCAACTTTTTAGACGCCGGTTTTGAGCGTTTGAAAGCGAGACAAAAAAACGATTTCTGAAAATTTCGTTTTTTCAGCTGGGAAGAGCCCATGACGATCAGTTGCGGATCGCGCNGCATGTACACGTCTTCCTCCAACTCCGAACGCACAAAAGCTTGCTCAACATCGAAATGACACAAGTCGAGGTTCAACTCGCACGCCAAAGCAGCCAACATCCTAACACATGAAACAGAAACGGTAGGCGCGTACAACTCTCCAAAGTCAATGTACTCTCTCTGCATATCACCTCTCGCTACAAGTCTCGACTTAACCTTAGTGGGCCATCCAAACTCATCTGCCTTCCAATCGAATACCCACTTAGCGTTAATTGCGTTCTCCACTAGTTGCTACTTCGCCGGAGTAAAAGTTCTCGCTTCCAACAAGCCATAAAACTCCCTTTGCATAGAGTTGCTCTAAAGGTGTNAGTCAATGTACTCTCTCTGCATATCACCTCTCGCTACAAGTCTCGACTTAACCTTAGTGGGCCATCCAAACTCATCTGCCTTCCAATCGAATACCCACTTAGCGTTAATTGCGTTCTCCACTAGTTGCTACTTCGCCGGAGTAAAAGTCCCCGCTTCCAACAAGCCATAAAACTCCCTTTGCATAGAGTCGCTCCAAAGGTGCCGGTGCTCCGACGCCATGGCCTCTTTGTAGCTCTTGGGGACACGAAGGTCGCTGGCCTGGCAATGCGGAAGGTCAGGGCGTTGCTCCGGCGGGCGCTGGTCTCGCAGCGTGGCGTCGATGTCTTCCCGGTTGGCGAGGAGCGTGGCAAATGCGAGTGGAAAGCCCGCTCCTCCAGCCCCCGGATCCACAGCTGCGAGTGCTCCCGCCTGCCCTCCGGTCCCCGCTCCCCCCAGCTCTCCGGCCTCCGCCCCCCCCAGCTCCCTGCGTTCCTCGTCCACCGCGCCCCAAGCCTCCAGCATCGACACCAGAGTATTCTTGTCTAGCATCGAGACGAGTCCTGTGCTATGCCTTGTGCCCGATCTCGAACCGCTTGGCAGCCGCGGGTCTGTCATACCCTCGGCCTTTGTACCCGGGCGAAGCTGCCGCATGGCGTGAGCCGTAAGCGGGGGCATCGCGGGGTCNCCCTGCGCTCCTTATCCACCGCGCTCCGAGCCTCCAGCATCGACACCAGAGTGTTCCTGTCTAGCATCGAGATGAGTCCTGTGCTGTGCCTCGTGCCCGATCTCGTACGGCTTGGCAGCCGCGGGTCTGTCATACCCTCGGCCTTTGTACCCGGGCGAAGCTGCCGCATGGCGTGAGCCGTAAGCGGGGGCATCGCGGGGTCCGGCAGCGGCGGCGGCTAGTCTGGATGTGGGGTCGCCGACGATGACAGCGAAGAGGCAGAGGACGGCTGGCCAGGAGCGGGAGTCGCCGACGGTGACGGCGAAGTGGCAGAGGGCGGTTGTGAAGGCGTGGGAACGGGCGGCGGCGTTGCGGCAGGGGGCGAAGCGGCAGAGGGAGCGGGAGCGGGCGACGACGTGGGCGCTGGCGGCGGCGGTGCTGCGGTCGAAGGCGTCGGTGCTGGGCCCAAGTTGAACGAGACGACCGGCGGCGTGAACGGGGGGGGTGTCGGCGCAGCGGTGATACCAGCGGAACCCCCCTCGCCGGCTGGCGCCGACGTCACCCACGACACGTTGTTGGTGTAGACGACGCGGCCGGTGGACGCCTTGAGGACCTTGACGGTGCCGCTCGGGTGGTTGTCGCCGCCGTTCAGGTAGTAACAGAGCGTGGCCTGGTCGTCGAGCTTGGTGCGGCGGTCCTCGCGCATGAAGCCGGGCTGGAAGAACGGCAGCACGCGGAACGGCCCCTGCTCGCCGGTGAACATCTCGTGCGGCGAGCGCCGCCCGGGGTTGGCCTTGGTCGCCGACTGGTCAAGAGCGTCGGCGGCCCATTTTNCGCCGCCGTTCAGGTAGTAACAGAGCGTGGCCTGGTCGTCGAGCTTGGTGCGGCGGTCCTCGCGCATGAAGCCGGGCTGGAAGAACGGCAGCACGCGGAACGGCCCCTGCTCGCCGGTGAACATCTCGTGCGGCGAGCGCCGCCCGGGGTTGGCCTTGGTCGCCGACTGGTTGAGAGCGTCGGCGGCCCACTTCGCCGATTCCATCCAAAGACGGTCACCGCGCTCGTCGAGGCCGGGGATGGAGGCGAAGTCGACGTTGAGCACTCGGGCAGTGCTGCGGCGAGCGGCCATGCCGACCTTCATTATGCGCCAGATGGCGCTTTCGACGACGCCGTTGTACTGTGGGACGCCAGGAGGTGTGAACTCGACGCCGATGCCGTTGTCGTCGCAGAAGCGCCGGAAGTCGCCGCGGGTCCACTCGGTGCCGTTATCGACGCGGAAACACTCGACGCGCCCAAGGTAGTACCGCCCCACGTCCGCCAGCAGCTTTTTCGTTGCCGCCAGCGCGTCGGACTTCCGCCGGAGACCGTAGACTTTGTTCCACCGCGAGGCGCTGTCCACGGCGACGAACAGGTAGAGGTTGCCGCCCAGGGAAGGTACCAGCGGTCCACACAGGTCCAGGTGAACACGCCCGAGAGGCTTGGACGCCCTCGCTCCCGGCCCCCGCGGCACCGACGCTCGCCTGCCCTTCGCCTTCATGCAGTCCGTGCACGGTTCCAGCTTGCCGGTGAGCACGATGCCTCTCTGCTGGGCAGTTTCTCTCAAAAGAGGCTCGCAAGCGTGGGCAAGGGAGCGGTGGAAGCGGTTGATGTCAACGGACTTTTCGGTCGATCCAAGAGTGAACGGGGACGCACCAGGGCCAAGCGCGGCCGCACCCAAGTCAAAATCAGAACCTCCGTCAATGCTATCCAAAACACCAGCCACATTCGCAGCGTCACTCTCTGGGATAACCACGGGGAAAAAGTCTTGATATGGGGTGTCATCATAGACATCCATGAGCTGCTCGTCGGTGAGCACACTCGTATCTCCAAGATCCATACCCGGGAAAGTACCCACACACTCAAAACCGGAAGCCGAAGAAGGTACTACGTCGGCATAGCCGGCGGGCGGGACGCTCTCACTCGCAGGTACTACACTGGTTGGACCAGTGGGCGGGACGCTCTCACTCGAAGGTACTACGGTAGCAGAGCCTGCGGAAGGAACACNATCGGGGGATTTCACGAAGGCAGGCAAAGCAGCAGAGTCTACCACAATCGCAGACGGGTCGTAAGGCATGCGCATTGCATGGGCGGCAGAAGCTTTCTCCTCTCTTGCAAACAGCAGTCCGTTACGCAGGGTCACGCCACGCTCGTCATGGATAATTCGTTGCCGAAGGGAAACAGCATGCGTCGAAAACAAGTTGAAACTCAGACTCTCTACCACAGACACGTCAGTCAGCTTCACATACATCGTCGTTGGCACACCGTTATCACCCTCCTGGAAAAAGATGAGGTTGATGCTACCGATTGCTTCCACCTTCAGCAGACGACCATCTCCTACAATGACATACTGCCTATTCGAGGGTATCTCCTGCAAGTCGTACATGTGCAAGTCACTGTTGGTGAAACTGTTGCTGGCTCCTGAGTCAGCTACCCATCTCTCGCTACCAGGCGGCCCCTCACTAGATTTCACACTCAGCAAAGACGAAGCACTAGAAGCAGACTCTACTCCTATCGTCACTCCTATCCTACTGAAAAAATCGTCAGGGTGAGACTTGCCTAGGGGCACCGATTGTGCCGTGCAGAGGTGGAGGTAGCCCGAAGATGGAGGCACGCCAGGAAAAGGGGTAGAGGACGAGGAGGAAGCGGTGGTGCTGCTGCTCGCGGGGGGGG